CGCATGCTCCGGATTCGGCGAGAGTCACTTTCCCATCGTTGATCACTGGGGAGGAGCCAATAGGATGCAAAGCCTTGTATTCCGGGGGAGCGAAGAGTGGGGCGCGCTTGTAGGTCTTGAGCTCGTAAGGGATGGAGAGCTCTTCACAGAGCCAGGGTACGCGCTCGGACTGGGAGACGTTGAGGTGATGCACAAGGACGACCATCGTGGTTGTTGAACTCGGGTGTCATGGAGGGGGTTTATATATTCCAGAGCCTGGGATTGTCGCACCCGCTGAGCGATCTCGATGTCATCGATCCACTGACTTTCCGACATGTGCTGCGTCAGAAGACATACCGGCCCTGATTCGAATGGATGACTCCTTTATAATTATCTGATACACCGTAGGGAAACACCAGCTCCATTTCCCCATTGACCTCTTGGGCGCCGGTCTGTCCGCAACGCTCAGATACCCCAACATCCCATCCAGTCCTACCAATTTCGGGATGGGCATGAGATGAAAAGACGATTTGCCACGACCAGGCGAGACTGTACTTGGGATAAGCCTTTCCCAAGCCTGCGAGCTGATTAGATGTAGAGCGCGTTCGAACGCGTTGTGTGGTCAAAAACGCTCCGGATGTCACGTTCGTCCTCGACTTTCCGGGTTTCGTCAAAACCATTATCGGGAGGGATATCGCGGGCGTGGCGATAGAAAACCTTGTTTGAAGTTTTGGGAATGCTCGGCTCCTGCTTTGCCGTTCCGAATGCAGAGTCCAGTGAAAGACATGTGTTTTTGGCAACGAGAAAGTTTCCGTCGGCTGACAGACTGAGCCTGAGAAGGCAGGTGTTCTGGTTGAAGGGGGAGGGCGAGGGGAAGGTATCGAGGTCGTGATGGGCACCGACGGTCAGGCGTGTATTCGATAGAATTGGATGGATTGAATGCAGAACGATTGCTGCTGAGGGAAGGTGGCGCTCTCGATCATTTGCAAGGATATGCGGAGGAGATTCTCGGCCAACCAAGTGGGAGTTCGCAGTGAAATTACTGAGCTGATTTGCTTTGTACGCTTCCTATTATGTTTGAGCCAATATTGGTAAGTCTTGAGTTCAGAGCATACTATACTGTCTCCGCACCTCGACAGAACATTCTCATAACATATGTGTTCTCTCCCATACGGCATTGACGTCGTAGATTTATTGGAGCTTGTCTGTCTGCGAGCCCACTACAACAACAGGGATATGTGCCATCTGGTTACTTTCTATGAGGTCGGTGGGTGCAACACACCATTATACTGCGCGAGACCTGTTCATTCTGATGAGGGAAGCCTTTTGGCAGCAGAGAATGCATACACGTACCGGCCACTGTTCTGTTTCAAAGAATAGTCATCCAACGTCTCTGAAAGCGCTAGTTTGTGCAAGATTGCGAGTGAAAGTCATCGAGATGATGGGGGGAGGACAAGGGGTACAGCCACCAACCTTCACCACACTGACTGCTGCCTGCAGGTCAACTTCACCATCGACGACGGCGACGCGCGTGAGCCTTGTCACTGCGACGGCAACTGCAAGTAAATTTTTGACTCATCTCTGGCTCGGGAAGTGAGAAAGAGGTGAGAGTAGTGAATAACCAACGGCTACATTGCTCACTTTTTTATTATTACCAGTAGTGTTTTCCCTCGACACCCTAACTTTTCCATCTACCAGTCAGGTCTTTTGAACGGCTGTGTTTCTTCAGCGCCGATTGGACCGTTTATGCGTACGTGGTTTTGCCAAAACCAACTGAATACGGCTCACTTACTCGACAGTCGTCAGATCGTCAAGCCTCATGGATAAGTTATACGATGGCATCCATCCTCGCGCTCTGGGGGTCCTCAGAGAATGTCCCTCCCGCTCCCAGAGGAGGAGATCTCAAATTATATCGAGAACACCCAAAATGACGTGAACCTGTTTGCAAGCTGCATCGAGCAGATGCGCATTTGCCTGGCAGTGCTTCAACGTGATATTGCGTGGTATGGCTCCTTCTGGAAAGTTATTCCTCGGAGTTTATATCAAGGGCATTTACCAGCAATGCCGTCTGTGGTCGGCGGGGTCATTTCATTGTGCTCACCAGAGCTATGGGCCAGCAAGATACGTTAAAAGTCACAGCGAGAACTCCTCCACACCATCACCCGCTCTTTCCTCAGACGTCTCGAAGCCCCTACCTTTACGGCGGATGTTGTTTTCATTCATCATTCTCTCCTTCCAAAGCTCAGATGCCTTGAATTGGGATAGGTTCGATCGAATGTTGGTGATGTGTTTCCCGCTCGCGAGAGGTTGAGGGAGGTCGTGCTGTGTGTCGTGGGCAGGAAGATGGACGAGGACACACGCGCCGCTGAGGAGAATGTATGAAGAGGGGTTGATGATAAGTGTCTTTGGGAACGGAGCACGAGTTGTATGAATGGTTTCGAAAGACTCGGAGCGAGTCAGTTTTGCTTGTTGTTTTCATTCAATCGGCTCCTCGTCTGTCCACCCAGAAGTATGAAACATATACACCAAGTACCGCTCATTTCCTCTTGTCTGAGATTTACTATAGAACGCTTTTGGACGCTTTGGCTTATGGGAAACCACTACTGGATGGAACACAATGACGGTCGTCGGTAAAGAAGAATGAGCAGCACCGCCACGCACAACAGCTCTTCACCACCTTCATCGACGCGCGTGGACGACGAGCACCCCGACGACAGCAACACATTCTAATTATTGGCTAACGTAGTCAAGGTGGAAATTACTCCAGATTTCTGTTGCTCATCAAGCTGAAACGTCTCTACGTAGTCATATCGCGCTTTGAAGGTTCTGAACTCTAGTACCGATCCTGTCGAAGTTGTACGCGCGCGTCAATGGAATCGATATCTTTCCGAACTGTGCCCAATGCTGATGATCTACTCGATGCTAGATCGACCAACTCAACCCGTATGAATTCCATATTTCAAGACATCCACCCTCGCGCTCTGAAGGCACCTATACCCACAGACGAGCTGCTGAGAACGCTCAGGGAGTGTACCATTCCATCACTCTCTGCAGAGAAGGCGTCGACATACGTTCGAAATGCCCAATACGACTTGCATCTATTCGATAACTGCATCGATCAATTGCGTATTCGTCAGGCGGCACTCCGACGTGACATCGACCGTTATGGTTCCCTACACTCGTCCATTCGGAAGCTTCCCCCAGAGATCCTTCGACGTATTCTTGTGTTTGCTTGCACTCCAGTTTCCGCCAGTGGATCTGCACGTCTGAAGCATATACCATAAGCGCCGTCTATTGTCGGTGGAGGGGTGTTGCGTTATATTGACCTGAGTTATGGGCCAACCTGGACGTCAACCTCCGCAAACGAACCTTTCATCTAGTACGCCTGGCTTTTGCTCGTTCTGGAAAGCACCCACTTTCATTACGCATAACCGACCAAGAACCCTCAGAAGACGAAGGCAATGAACAGCACGAGGTTCTCCGTTTCCTCGTAAAGCACTCCCACCGCTGGGGCCATGTGGATTTCTCAGACGTCTGCCTTGATTACATTGAGCTGTTACAAGGTATCGGCCCTACTCCTCTACTAGAGTCGATCGTCTGCCCGCCGCACCGTGCCACAGAAGTCTTTGCCTATCTAACCCACTCCCCACGCCTCAGGCATTTCGAGTGCGAAAGCCAATTCTTCGACCTGGAACCTTTTGAGGACGTCGAGTGCTTCCCTTGGGACACAATGCACCATCTAAACATGACTTTCGAACGGGCTATCGCACCGTTGGCAGCCTCCGGCTTGTTGCGCCTTGGGGTAGGCCTACAGTCGCTTGTCTTTGCTGGGGGGGCTGTTGCTGGAGACCACGAGAGAGAGCCTTATGAGCGCTCTGACGAACTTCCGGATCCCGTCATCTCCAATCTCACAGCGCTCGCCGTTCACCTTAGTGATGCGGAAGGGTTTTATAGCTTGCTACATGACTTCATCCAGTGCTCAACACTCTCATCACTCGAAAGCCTGCACATCTCTCTTTGTAAACATACGAGGAACCTGAATAATGATTATCAAGGGAAATGGCCCCACCCGGCCGTCTACGATTGCTTCGAACGTTCGGGTTGCAAACTGACGAAGCTGACGCTGGAAGGGATACCACTGGATGACTCGGATGTCATTGCTCTAACCAAGCTCAATCCATTACTCCGCTCCTTCACGATGACTGGTACTGAGCCACCGGTCACAGCGTGCAAGGAGAAAGATCGGCAGAAACTACTGCAGACGGTCACCCGATCCTTCCTCAAACGCCTCGTGGCTCCTACGTTCATAGCCGACGCGTTTTCTCCTCAGCAACCTCTCCTTCCGAAGCTCAGATACCTTAAACTCGAAGTCCAGCCTCATTTCGATGCCGACGAGGTTTTTGTCGAGGTCATCAGGTCAAGGTGGATTCGACCGAATGCTGGTCAGGGTTTGTTCTCGGACACCATCACAAAAAGATTGAGGGAGGTGGTATTGAACGTCATGGATCGGGAGGTGGACGAGAAGATTTATGTGCCACTGCAGAGGATAGACGAGGAGGGGTTGATGGTCAGTATCTTTGGAGACCGGCGGGAACGAGTTATATAAGTGCGTAAATTTCAGTTCAGTTTGAACACGCCGACTCAGACTCGATGCGGAAACGTGTTGTTTTTTTGCAAGTAACTTAGTAAGTATCTTTTGTTTTTCTTGCTCCATCGTAGAACCCAAGTTCGGCCAACGCTTGTAGTTACCGGGTGCACTGTGCTTCATTTTCTTTTACTGCACATTACTTATGTTCCGTCTTCCTTCATCCTTCGCACTCTGCGTTACATTTACTTACCTTATATCTTCCATATCTTAGGCTCAAAATGGCCTGTGATCAATTGCTGTCTACTATGCATGGATGCTCCCTGAGCATAAATAGTACAGACTTCAGTCAACAATAAGTTGCTAAGTTGCTCTATGTTTCCCCTTCGCTGTGTCTTCGGCGATACAACAAGAAAAACAATGAGAATTCTCTTATCTCCCTGGCTGGGAGTCGAACCCAGCTTTCGCGCGTTCATTGCCGCTCGATCATGACAGGCGCGTGTACTAACCGATATACTACCAGGGACTTGTACACCTCGTTGGAGTAATGCGATATGAATCCACCATAGTGAAATGGGTACACGATGAAGAAAGTCAAGATACATTGGGACGCAAATCTTTATACATCATACTAAGCCAGCTGCGGAATCTTCTCCAACAAACTGTTCTCCTCGTCCGAAGTTCCTTTGTAGCGCACCAAGGGATTTGAGTTTTCTCCGACCTTGGGTCGGGGAGAGGATACATGTAATGAAAACAAATCAGGACGCGAGCTATCAAATCGAATTGGCCGTATTAGCCGTCTTTCAAAGGGGGTTCCCAAGCAGTCCAAGACTTACTAATGTCCAACCGGGTCCACCGTCAGTTTAGCCATCCGCAATTGGTCCAAGTCGATATCAGCGTAGAGTATCGTCTCTTCACCGGGGTCGACGGGTGGGGTAAGTTGCCTTCCATCGGGTCCGTAGATAGCTGCAAATCCTCCTCCGTTCTGATAGGGAGAAGATAAGGATAGGGATAAGGATAAAGAATAAGGATAAGGATAGGAGAAAGCGCGAATCAGTCATAGGACAACAGCAAAAATCAAAGCTATCTACCTTGGGATTCCAAGGCGTCCCTTCGAGGCTATCAAGCGTGTTAGCCATCTCGACAAACGTAAATGGGAGACCCTCAACCAACCCGCACAATCCCGCGTTCTCGGGTTTCACCAACTGTGTGCTCGAAACCACGAACATGGGTCCCTCCATCGCCGCAAACCTAGCAGCCGTCGTCTGGAAGTCAGAAGAGAACTGAGGAATAGCCCCGCTAGCGAGGGAGTCACAGAACGGCCAGCTTGCGACGTGGATTTGTACGCCTTGGCTATAATGGTGGAAGCGGACGAGGGGTTGGAGGTGTTCCCTGTAATCCCGATCCAGCGACGAAATGAGGTCAGAACGCCAATCGTAGCGCGATGATTACCGGAGGTTACTGACCAGCAATTAAGGCACCCAATGATAACACCCTCGGGACCTTCAATTGCGGATTTGATGGAATCAGCTGACAGCAATAAGTACTAGAGATCAGCGCGGGATATACTCAAGTACTAGCGATACTTACCCGGAGCATCACCCCAGATAGTTCGCTCGTGACCCGTCGCTTTGAGCTTCCGTCGATGCAAGACAACCTCTCCACACGGGTTGATGATACTTTGTGCGGCGAACATGCTATGACCATCGAGCTCGACGAATCCGAGCACGACCCTAACGAGGGATGCCACGGTCAATTGGTGTCGCAAAGGGTACTAGCTTGAACGGCGTCGGAGGCACTTACCAGATCTTGGAGTCTCTAGCAGCCTTCAGAATACTTTGGAATTGCTCTGACTTGACGCTCAGACACGCCTTCGAATATTTCGTAAAGAAGAACGGGTCGAAGGGTTCAGCCCATATACGCATCGGGTAGCCTGGGATGAATGATTCGGGAAAACCGATGAGTTGAGCACCATTAGAGGCAGCTTCTTTGATCAAGGATATGGTCTTGAGAACACAAGCATCGAGGTCGAACCAACAAGGCTCGGACTGGATCGCAGCTACCCTACAGAGGAAGAGAATCAGTCCAGGTTCAAAGTACAGTGATCGCACTCACTTCATTGCAGTCTCGACGGTGTCTTCTTGGTAATAAGTTGGAGGGTATTGAGAATCCCAGTTGAGAATACGCCGACGGCTTTTAAAAAGGGCGGTGGTACGGAGCGGAGTAAGTACCGAGATAGGGCGAAAGCTCCTCGTAGATATGGGTATGATATCGAACGGTCAAGGTCCGCGCATGGCATAAGATTAAGCATCAAGGATCCAAGTCGTACTATGACACTTTGAGTTGAATGACACCACGAGCACTACAAATTTGGACTCACCTTATTGGTGAACCTTCCGCACCCCATTCCCGTACCAGACGTTTATTATGATACTCTCGTTCCTTATCCGGCTTCAACGAAGTGTTCATTCAGCGCCTCCCCCCCTATGCCTGCCAATTCACTCGTTCCATCAAGCACACGTCCGATCCTGTGACCCTCCACCGATAATACTACACACTATAGTCGGCCGAGCTTGAGTTTTGGGTAAACATTATATGAAAAGCGGTTTGACGGTGGCCAATTGCATGGCAATCTTGTCCTCGTACGACAAGGGTTTTGATTGGTTGCCCGTAGACTTGACGAATGGGAAGGGGCCCGCATGAGCAAGGTGCTTGGGACGTCAGGTTGAACGTTGAAGCTTGAAGCCTCACGGGTACCGAATACGGATTTAAGTGAAGTCTTGAGCAATCAGGGGGTCCTGATTAAGACAAATAGACTTATGCGAAGCAGTCTAGCGCAACGGAAACCTGTTGGAATCTGTGTCAGGGAGGTCCCAGATGCGATGGGGACGCAAACCTGGTGTAAGTTGTAAATCGAGGTTTTCTTTCTGGGTGTGTTGATTTGGTTTGTGGGTCGAAGCTAAGCATGAACATTCTGTCAGTTCACGAACACGATAGATGTATGTATCCAGGGAGTTGCTGATTGAATGGGAGGCAAATGGGAGGAGGAAAAGAACGTGAAACTCGAAGTGCCGGTCCAGGCCGGTCCGTCGGTTTCAAGGTCTGTTTTCCCACGCTAGCCTGAAGGCGGGCGCCAAGTTCGCGTCGACCACCCTTGGCTCGTGACAAAGTCGACACGAAGTTGGCGACGACTAGTGTGTTCTGAATCTCTCCACGCTAGTCTTGACTCACGTTCGCCAACTGTTGATCTAAGACTAGTAAAGGCTCTAACAGTATGTGAATGCCGTCGCCTACGTACTATAGCTTCAATCTTCAATGATCGCTGATGATCGCTGACGCGAATAGTAGAGGACATGCCATTCGAACTCAAAAGAGGTCCTCGCAGCGAGGCTGGAGTACCGCGATACAGAAATTGATACGTGTACGCGGGCTCAGCTTTTTGTCCACCCAGAGAAAAGGAACATCAAACTCAGACATCCAAAAGAAAGGGTAGAACACGTGCACCATCCTTAGTCTTATATAGGCGAAGGCGAATGTCAAGTTATAACCATTGTAAACACGGTGTGGCGTTCGTCGAGTGGAAGCCGAACACAGTGAGTTCTGGATCTCAAAGATTTCGGAACCATAGCTAATTATGTACTCCTCAGCGGTTTCCCGTAGTCGTTGATGGCTTCCGTTTGCCGGATCGCAACCTCGCAATGTATGTTAACATCGACGACACCGACGCATGCACCGAGATCATTCAGAAAGGACCCGCGGCTGTCAAGACATTCAATTTCGAGAGTTACGATAAGGATAAGAGACCGTTCTACTTTGTGGAGACTGCGGACTCTCTCGATCCCTCATCCCCAGTGAGATGTCTGTGGGCGAAATCTGGCTATATCGGACCGTCGAGGAGCTATGTTCAATCTAGCTCGATATGACCCGGGGATTTCTGACTGGGCCTCATCGATCATCCTCGATCACCCAAAGTAATGCAGGGACGACCAAGGCTGGACTCGTAGCCCTGGAGCAGCTCAGCCCGTTTCAGAAAGATGGAGAGCGATGTCTCGAAACCCCGTTGGCTCAAATTCGCACCTTCACTATTGATGCATACCAGTCAAACGTTGTCCGGTCCAACCCCTTCCACGCGACAATGGCTCGGATGGCACAACGCTCTCTGAGCAAACGTTCCCAGCTCAACGCAATCATCGAGGGCTGCCACCGAAAAAGCGATACCTCGTGAGGCATGCGCTACCGGCTGCCAACTCGAGACAGGGGTGTCACTTAAAACCCGGAACACCGGTGAGTATCATCACGAACTCCCTCTACGCCCTCGCTCACTGGAAGGCTCTGAAGCCAAAAGCACCGGGGATGTCAGTGCGTCGGATCGCCGCTCCTCGTTGGTTAGACCCGTCGATCGTCATGAACCATTCTATACTCGCCTTCCTCGTCCGACAAGCAAGGTCTCTCCGCCACCATCTACGAGTGCGTTGAAACGATCGCGAAGACCCCGTGATGGAAAGGCGTTCAAGTGTGAGTTTTTCCCAGATACGAGTGTGCTTACTGGCTGACACATTGGTTGGCTCAGCGTCAGTAGACGAGGTCCGTACCCAGGCTGAATCGTGGAAGATGATGCGGAAGACGAGCCCGAAGGCATAACGAAAACGAGCCGCCCAACAAGTCTTCGGCGGCTGAGATAGACGTTGCCAAGGCGTCGGAGCTTTAGGTTCCATCGCTGTTTTCACAACTACTAAACACATTTTCTATCCATCCGATTCCTTGACTAATAGTAAGCCCGCGTCGAGGCTTACTAGCCAAACAGCATCTCGTCCTGCCTCTCTCGCAAACGGATTATGCCCGTCGTGGAGATCGGAGGAAGCAGAACAAATTGAGTCAGTGAACCAGGCATCATCAAGCCTTCGCCTGGCCCGGGATCTAAATATGGCCATGAAAGGGGACCTCACAGAGATCACAGGGAGTGAGATCTTGAGAGGCCGTTGACCACTCCTGTTTCGCATCGTTGAAGCTGATTTTTGCGACAGTCTGAAATTAGCCGAGCTGAGGCAAGACTGGTCAGTATATCATGCCATGTAGTGCGAAATTCTACGACCGCTCATCTGAAATTGCTCTCCTTACAGCGCGTTGCAAAACGAAAACTAGCGGATTTTATAGGGTCAACATCTCGATGCTCTACTGGTCCGAGTACCGCGAGAAAACTACGTTTACCAGTGGGTACAGAGATCATTGAGATCTCTGATTGAAGGTCGTACCTGGCCCACCTGGCCCGCTTTGCTGCATAATGAAGCGTAGATGCCAGCGAGGCACGAGCCGGCATCAGAGTTCCAACCGAGCGAGAGTTGAAACGTTGATGACTCAGCCTCACTCTCTCTTCCTCTCGCGACCATCCCAAGGTCGCTCGCAGATTCTTCCAGTTTCCTCCCTAGCCTCGTTAGTTTTCACACCCACCGCCCTTCCCTCCATGCATTGAACGAGACTAGAGTTCTGACGACGTACATAGACATGTTAAGCCACGAATATATATAT